GCCTTGATGGCGTTGGCGTTGATGGGGGCGTAGGGCCGGCGCGCCGCCCGCCGCGGCTGCAGCACGTCGCGGCACAGGCGGCGCGAGAGCCGCGTCAGCCGCGTGGTCTGCAGCAGGAACGTCTGCCGGTTCTTGGCCAGCAGCTTGGCACGGCTGGCGCTCGTCGTGTACGGGGACAGCGACTGCGCCTCGGGCCGCGACAGGTGACCCCGAGAGTGGGGCTCCTGGGGGGTGAGAAAGGGTTAGGAAGGGTTAAAAACCCCCAAAATCCTCCCAAAAACCATCCATGGTGGTGTACGGGGAAAGGTGACCCCAAGAGTGGGGCTCCTGGGGGGTGAGAAAGGGTTAGAAAGGGTTAAAAAACCCCAAAATGCTCCTACACGGTCAGGTGACCCCAGGAGTGGGGCTCCTGGGGGGTCAGAAAGGGTTAGAAAGGGTTAAAAACCCCAAAATCATCCCAAAAACCATCCACGGTGGTGTACGGGGAAAGGTGATTGCAAGAGTGGGGATCCTGGGGGGTCAGAAAGGGTTAAAAACCCCAAAATGCTCCTACACGGTCAGGTGACCCTGGGAGTGGGGCTCCTGGGGGGTGAAAAAGGGTTAGAAAGGGTTAAAAAACCCCAAAATCATCCCAAAAACCATCCATGGTGGTGTACGGGGACAGGCGACCCTGGGAATGGGGCACCTGGGGGGTCAGAAAGGGTTAAAAAACCCCAAAATCCTTCCAAAAACCATCCACGGTAGTGCATGGGGACAGGTGACCCCAAGAATGGGGCTCCTGGGGGGTTAGAAAGGGTTAAAAACCCCAAAATGTCCCCAAAAACCATCCATGGTGGTGTACGGGGACAGGTGACCCCACGAGTGGGGCTCCTGGGGGGTTAGAAAGGGTTAAAAAATCCTAAAATCCTCCCAAAAACCCTCCCAGAACAGGCTCTGTTGGTGTACAGGGACAGGTGACCACGGGAGGGGCTTCTAGGTGAAGCTCTCGCAGCTCAGCCCCTTCTGGAAGCCGGCCCCGTTGACGCCGGGTTTGGAGCCCACCGAGATGATCTGGTTGGGGTTGGGTTTGGTGCTGTGGGAAAAGGGAGGGGTCAGAGAATTTTGGGGAGGTTTCAGGGGGGTCTCCTGTGCCCCCCCAAGCCCAGCAGGGGGTCCCCAGAGCCCCCCCACTCACTAGGTGGGGATGTAGACTTGCTTCAGTTTGCTGTCGGCCTCCGCTGCCTTCAGCCTCTTCTGCGAGCAGGGAGGGGGTCACAGGGGGCACTGAGCCCCCCAAAACCCCCCAGATCAGCCCCCCAAAACCCCAGAGCCCCCCAAAACCCCCCAGAT